AGTTCCTGGAACTCTGACACCTGCTAGAATGGAAATGAAGTCATCATCACACTTCACCGCATGAATATGAGGCTCTAATTGCCTGATATATCCAATAAATGCCACTCAGATCATTTCTGCAACATGTAGTGCAGCACAGACGAGCACTGGTGAACCCGTTTTAGTGCTTCAAACGAACCGTCATGCAACATATGTTGAAAATGCTCTTTGAGTTTCCGGACTTTGTTGACAGACTCGACAACTTGACTTTTATGTGTTTTACGACGACACTAAAATACACCACAGTGTCTGTAGTTAAACCAGTCACAACTATGTTTTACAGCTATATTTTTTTCCCATAAATGCAACAGAAAGTAAATCATATACTCACTGCTGTAATATTACTGTAGCTAATTGCAAAAGTTTTAAAATAGTTTTTATGCAAAAGTATCAAAAAAGTACCACATTCAGATTTCGTTTTAGATTAGATTTAATCTTCTGTCTATCTTTTTGGAAAAATGCTTCTGGATTATGCATTGAAATTGAAATACTGTGTACATACATCGACACGTGTGTGTGTGTGTGTGTGTGTGTGTGTGTGTGTAGCAAGGATGAATTAAAAGTGAGAGTGAAGACATTTGTAATATATAAAAATTTTAAATGAAAGTTCTTTTATAGTTTCTATTCCTCACAGAGTCCTGAAAAAAATCACTGTTTAATCAAACACTGATAATAATAATAAATGTTTCTTGAGCATCAAATCAGCATATTAGAATGATTTCTGAAGGATCTTGTGACACTGACGACTGGAGTAAAGATGCTGAAAATTCAGCTTTGCATCACAGGAATAAATTACATTTTAAAATATATTCAGATAGAAAACAACATAGAAAATTGCTTAAAACTACAAAAACAATTTCTACTGTATTTATGAATATATTTCCATTAATTAAATTCGTTATATATGTTTTGATATTATTTTTAGTTTTATATTATACAAATTGCATAGAGTATGGCATCTTATAAAATATTTGCTGTCACATTTAAGAGGTCCAGCTAATCACAATTTGTCATATGTGTAAAAATCAAAATCGATTATGACTTGTAACCCCTCCACATGACATCACTCTGTCCAGTATCCCACAATGCTTTGAGCGAACAGAAGCCATGAATGGAGGGCTGAGGGACCGATGGGCTCTGTGTTCATGCAGCACTACTGCTAATTAATCTTTGCTGTTATGGAAAATCACAATCTCACAGCCAACAACTTCTTATATCAGCAATCCACAGGCGTATTAGTGAAGGTTATTTCAGCTCTCACAGTACAGCACAGTTGTGTCTAGACTCATGGAAACATTGAGCAAAGCATCATATGAGATGACAGCTTGATAAGGCTGTTACATTTCTGAACGTCACTGACTCATGGTATTATGCATGGAGGCTGTTTATGATGTTGAGAATATGCTAATAAACAATTAGTAAAGAGCTAAATATAAATCTTTACAGGATTATAAAGATGATAATTTACAAATTGGCAGAGAGATATGGCGTTAGTGTTTAAATGTACAAAAAAATTCAACTTCATGATTACAAACGTGTATTTAAAATACACAAATACACTGTATTTAAATACGCCACATAGACCTACAGGTATCACTAGAAATGACATTATAATTACAGTATATTTAGGACATTTAGGCAAGGCTGGGTAAAAAAATATCGATTTCAATCAATTCTCATATTTACGAAATCCCTATCCTGTCTTGTGTAATCTCTCAATCAGAGTTTCGACCGCGGAAAGATGTCAATATAACAGCTTGTAGACAATGTCACGAACGATATACAATGTCAGATAGAAAAACGAACTCTAGAGAAGAGAACCCTACTTAATATAACTATTAAAGTTAATATAACTATAACAACTTTATTGAGTGTAATTTAAGTGTTTGTATACAAATCAATTAATGTGAATCTTAAAGTAATGTAATACCAACTGACTCTCATGTCTATGTTTTACAGCATTAGTTGAGTTTTTTTCCCTTGAGAAAATTTGCCATGTACTGTACCTGGTATATATCCTAAATAATCGATATTGAATCGAATCAGATTCAAATCACAAGCTTGTGAATCGAAATTGAATCGAACCATGAAAATTGTGACAATACCCAGCCGTATATTTTAGTGTACCATAAATGCTAGTCTGTAGGCCTACATTCAAATTTCATGGACTTAATTATGAAATTACATATAAAGATACTTTATCCTACTTAGGTGGTTCAAAAAAAGCACTTTTTAGGCCAAACTAATTGCATTTAATATAATTTCGAAGTATAATACATTCTCATTCAATTGCTCATTTATATATATACAGTGTGTTTGTATGTATAATATAATATATATGCAATTAAGTGTGCAAAAACATTCATTCACACGTAAGTATATTCTCACATATTAAGCATATCACTGTATTAAGTAATCTTTTTAAAAAGTATGCTGAAGTGTATTTCATTTTTTACCAGGGCATAGTAAGAAACCAGCTGAAACCTGCAAATGAGGCCCATTATAGAATGCTCCGCTTTGTGAAAGTAAAAAAGCTTAAAAAAAATTTATTTAAAAAATATAAAAATTTTAGACTTGATACAAAATTGAGATGCATTGTCCACAACCAAGCTCTCAGATCTTGCCAACTGATGAATTTGCTAGTTTTGTGAGCATGTTTGTGTCGTCACCTGAATAACTTTAGCAAAACAGCTGCTAGAATGATAAATTATACAAGGTCAAAACAACAATATAAACAAAAGACAAAAATGTCCACCCATGATTTAACTGGGGGAACAGTAACGTCATATGCATTAGTTAAAATCAGCACAGGCATGTTTAATCTGTTAAAACAGCTCTTCGTGGAACTGTAGTGAATGTTAAATAAAGCCTGTATAATAATCATTAGAATTTTGGAACGTTCTATTCAAAGATTCCAGCCCCTAAAGACACACCATTAGTTCTCTTCAAAAGAAACATGTTCTGTTTACAAAAACCACTTACAAAGGAGTCCCCCAAGGTATAGCAGATGACACGTGAACTTCCCCGGTCACAGGAAGACGTCACCAAAATACAGTAACACTAGTACTACTAGTTATAGTACACGGCAGCGGTTACTGTGTTTAAAGCTGGGCATGTGTGAGTAGATGCCAAATGTAATCAGACATATTTGCAATTAGAAGGAGAATTCCTGATGAAGCAAGGAGAGCTAACTCTTGTGCTGTGAATCAAACTATAGGTGTTATAGAACAATACAGTTTAACACACAGCACCAGAGCATGTCTCCACTGACACAGTTTCACCTCCAGCTCTTCTGAAATTTACTGAGATGCATGAAACTGACACTTTTAAATTTCATAATAGTGTACAAAAGAGTCAAAACGATCAATTACTTTAATATGAAATCATTCAAAACAAGCCCCCAAAAATGCAAGATCAAACAAAATCGCTGCAAAATTTCTGAACAATCCATTATTTGAGTTTATGGTGTAATCTCTCAAAATACTGTATATACAAAAATAGAAAATAAGGTTATTATTGTAAAAATTGTATAAAACTATAATTCCTTTTAAAATAAGTAACATCTTTTTAAAAAAATTAATACACATGCTCATGAGTAGGCCCAAATAATTAAAAACATTTTTTTTTACCAAAATAGCACCTACTTTAGGTTTTCACTTTTGGTGACTTTGAGAGCATCATCTTTACATTTGTTCAGTACTATTACGGAGCATTAAAGGGATAGTTTACCCAAAAATGAAAATTTGATGTTTATCTGCTTACCCCCAGGGCATCCAAGATGTAGGTGACTTTGTTTCTTCAGTAGAACACACATTATGATTTTTAAGTCCAGCAATTGCAGTCTATCAGTCGTATAATGCATGGCAATGGTAACAAAATCTATGAGAGTAAAAAAAACATGCACAGACAAATCCAAATTAAACCCTGCGGCTCGTGACGACACATTGATGTCCTAAGACATGAAACGATCGGTTTGTGCAAGAAACCGAACAGTATTTATATCATTTTTTACCTCTAATACACCACTATGTCCAACTTCCTTGAGCGCGCGCACGGCATCCGATGCGTGAGGTGTGTACGCCCTCTGGCGTAGTTTACATTAATGGGTGTGTTGATATCCAGCCGAAGAGCAATCAACCATAACTTCAGGCGAGCAGGCTCAGAAGTTGGGAATACGTGGAAAGTCACCACTCCCGAATGAGTTCGCGCTTTTTTCAACTAAATAACTAAATATATTTCTACATGCTAACATTGGCCTTATTATTGATCCAGAAAATGAATGGAAACTAAATGGACAGTTGAACATTTATCTGATATATACATTGTGTATTATAGAAATAGTTCACCCCAAAATTAAAATTTGCTGAAAATGTACTCACTCTCATGCCATCCAAGATGTAGATGAGTTTGTTTCTTAATGGGAACAGATCTGGAGAAATGTAGCATTATATCACTTGCTCACCAATGGATCCTCTGAACGTGAACGTGTGCCGTCAGAATGAGAGTCCAAACAGCTGATAAGAACATCACAATGACCCACAATTAATCCACATGACTCCAGTCCAGAAACCAAGAAACAAACCCATGGAGAAGTTTTTAACTTCAAACTGCTGCTTCCAGCTAAAATACAAGTCCTCTAAAAAGTCATGTCATCTGAATCAGAAGACAAAAAAAAAAAGTCCAAAACAGTTTAAATATGTTAGTAGATTATGGACTTGTATTTTTGTCTGAAGCAATATTTGAAGTTAAAAATCTCTTGATGGATTTGTTTTTTATAAACACGAATCTTTTCACTTCAGAAGACATTAATTGATGGAGTCGAGTGGATTACTTTTGGATTCTGATAGCACTCATTCACAGCAGAGGATCCATTGGTGAAGTGACGTCATGCTCATTTTTTTCCAAACCTGTAGTGACCAAACTCATGTTGGAAATTTTCAGCAAATTTTAATTGTTGGGTGAACCAAGTGAACTTTGGCCTCCTGTTTGTGATAACATTGCGTAACCTGGTCTTGAAAATTTTAAAAGCATTGATTTTGTAAATTTTTAAAAGATATTACCAAATCAAATGAACAAGATAGCGATAACCTGTTATTACATTTTAATTTCAAGGTTTTCTGAGTTCATGTGGGCCTGCTCATAAGCTTTAACAGACTAAAAGCACACAGATCAAAACTACACATCAAAACCTAAAGAATGACAAAACGTTTGACTGGTTTGTCGGCACAAAAATTAGCTCTTTCCATCAGTTCATACGCTGTTGTGACGATAATTAAAGATTTTGTTATTCCAAATGTGTCCCTTCTTTTATACATCTTGAGAGCTAGCATCATTAAACAGCATTTGTTCATCCATATTTTCTTCCCAATATTCTACTGATATAAGAACATACAATCTTATTAATATTAACTTAAAAGAACAATTTGCTCACGTTGGCTGCTTCATTACTCTGCTGGAGCGTGAACTTCTACCTCTGTGGTCACCAATACCGCATCTGCATTTGCAACTAGACCTGCATCTAAATCTGAATCTGCACCTTCATCCACGTCTACATCTACATGTGCTTGTGTGCATATCGTCCCTGCATTTTCATTGGCTGCAGCCTCGACATCATCATAGTCCTCCTGTTTCTCTATCTCCAATTCATAGGTGTCCTGATCTGATGAGAACACAAAGGAAAAGGTCAGCACCGTTTCCATAAAGGCACACACACACACACACACATACAGTGAGGTGTAAATTTGAGTGATGTACCAAGAATGTTCTCGGGTCTCTTGGGAAGGAGAGGGAGGTTGAGGTCATCATCATGGTGGGTTTGAGAAGGAGAGATTCCATTGGCTTGTCCCTCAATGTCATCATATTCTGTCCCAGAAGAACCTGTCTTTCTGTCATATTCATCCTCCTCTCCTGTTGGAGAAACCAAACATGATTTATTCTTACATAAATAGATATACATTTATATGAATTTATTTATACATTATATATTCACCTTTACATTTTTTCCCCCTCTAGATTCTTTAAATTGTTTCCATCAATTGTATGCGATATTCCAGTTTTGCGCATAAATCTTTGCTTAAGTAAATATTTTATAATTAAAATATGAATAAAAGAGTGAATACCTGTTTTAAAACATTATTTACCTATACATACATACATATAATCAATATATAACTTATTGGTTTTTGTACATCTTCCTCTATCTATCTATCTATCTATCTATCTATCTATCTTTCTGTGTGTGTGTGTGTGTGTGTGTGTGTGTGTGTGTGCGTGCGAGAGTGATTTTGTCTTTTGACTTATTAGATACAAAAGTAAAATAAATAAATAAATAATAACAATAACATTTTGCAATTAAGGAAAGCATTAGCTTATGTCTCGATATTTACAATGTTCAACATAATAATAATTCAATTATACAGTATACCTCTGTCCTCTCTATCCATCTTATCCATTTCATTCACATCCGGGTTGACGTCTTTGCCATTCTTTTTTCTATAATATCTTACTGCAAAAACAGAAACAGGTAGAAAAGTATGCTTTCTATTAATTCTACCGGTTATTGTTTGATGTGCAGTGAGACAAGGAGTGGGAAACACTGCCTCCAACAGGTTAAAAAGATGAAGGCCTTTCAAATATCACTTTGAACTTCATCATGTAAAAATATTGTTTATCTGCAAATCAGAACAATGTCTTTCTGCATGGTGCAAGTGATACTCACAGGCTAAAAGTAGGCGTTTCCGATTTGCCCACATTAAAAACAAAATCAGCAACCCCAGCACGCCTCCTAACAGACCCAATATCAGACCCACTGAAAAATTATCTCCTTTTGGAATATAACCTGCAGTTTTAATGAAACAGTTTCACAGGTTGGAAAAACCTATCCCAGAACAATAAAACGTATTTTCCTATATTAAAGTGTATGGCATCTGTGTTTTTCTTTTTACCTTCACATATGATTTCAGCAGGTCCATGACTGCATTTATCTTTTTTGAGATGGTGCATGCACTGAAAAATCTTGTAATGGTTTTTTGGGCAATCAATTTTCACCTTTATTTCCTTTGCTATTTTCTGTTCATCCAGCAGTAGTTCTCCACTATCGTTGCACTTAAGCACATCACAAACCTTCTTGGTATCAGCCTCAGTCAGTTTTCCACAGACATATTCCCATTGCCCTTTATACCTGATCCCAAGCTTCCCGCCACACTTCTCAGTAGAGCCGAATTCAACACTATCTGCAATACAAATATAACTTCTGTCATTGAAAGTATAGCACGACTTAGCATATTCTAAGCATATGACTAGTCTTTTTAATATTTCATATAACGTGCATCTATCTGTAAACAAGAATTAGGAGTACACATGCATATGAGCAAACAAAAATTGACTAACAGCCACAAAACTGGATGTTTCAAAGGGAAATTGAACATCAATTCATTATTTAACTACAGTAACAGTCCTAATTACAGTCCAACAATACGTGTATGACTCACCTTTGCAGGCCACAGAGAGGATGTTCTTACAGCTGTCATTTTTAAAGCCACACTGCCACACCAGTGTCTCCTTGCCAGTGCAGCTGAAATGCATGCGATTTTTTTTAGCAGAGACTGTGGGCCAGCTGTAGATGGCCTTACCACAATTGAGGCTGTCACATAACTTGTTGGACATCCCATCATCCCACTGGGATGCACAAACATGCTCTTTATCTATGAGCACCTCGCCTGTGCAGTTGTTTGAGAGCATAATGTTCGGAGATTTACCTGGAGAGGAGTGAAATCAGACAATCAGATATTTCTGTACTGTAAGTTAAAGGGATAGTTCAGCCAAGAATGAAAATTTGATGTTTATCTGCTTACCCCCAGGGCATCCAAGATGTAGGTGACTTTGTTTCTTCAGTAGAACACATATGATGATTTTTAACTTTAACCGTTGCAGTCTATCAGTCGTATAATGCATGGCAATGGTAACAAAATCTATGAGAGTAAAAAAAATATGCACAGACAAATCCAAATTAAACCCTGTGGCTCGTGACGACACATTGATGTCCTAAGACACGAAACGATTGGTTTGTGTGAGAAACCGAACCGTATTTGATTACACTTTACTTGAAGGGGTGTGCATAAGACTGATATGATACCTACATAATCATGACATGACACATGTCATGAATATGAAGGTTTTTTTATGCATGTTTATGACAACTATCATTAAGTGTAATTCGCTCAGTTATGTAATTTTTAATGCAAAGATTACATTGTTTGAGATGTCTTTGTTATGGGCAATGGTTAGGGGTAAGGGTAGGGGTAGTGTTAGGTTAGGGTTAGGTCAAATAATGTCATATTTGCATTAAAAATGACATAACTGAGCGAATGACACTTAATGACAGTTGTCATAAACATGCATAAAACCTCCTTCATATTCATGACATGTGTCATGTCATGATTATGAAGGTGTCATGTCAGTCTTATACACACCCCTTCAAGTAAAGTGTTACCCAGTATTTATATCATTTTTTACCTCTAATACACCACTATGTCCAACTGTCTTTGGGCACGCGCACGGCTTCCGATGCGTGAGGAGTGTACGCGCTCTGGTGTAGTTTACGTTAAAGGATGTGTTGATATCCAGCCGAAGAGCAATCAACCATACCTTCAGGGCACAAACTGATCGTCTCGTGTCTTAGGACATCAATGTGTCGTCACGAGCCACAGGGTTTAATTTGGATTTGTCTGTGCATATTTTTTTTACTCTCATAGATTTTGTTACCATTGCCATGCATTATACGACTGATAGACTGCAACGGTTAAAGTTAAAAATCATCATATGTGTTCTACTGAAGAAACAAAGTCACCTACATCTTGGATGCCCTGGGGGTAAGCAGATAAACATCAAATTTTCATTCTTGGGTGAACTATCCCTTTAAGTATTAATCTTTGCGCAGGGTTGAGAAAACTTCAGCATTTAAGAACTGACTCCTGTTTGTTTCAGTTCAGTTTAGCAGGCGTACAGGATCTTAAAAGGGAATGACTGAACTGCAACCAAGGATATTAAAATAAATGGGCAAAATGCTGCCATGTTGTTAGGGTCTATTTTAAACACATTGAGAGCATTCTGGGAAAAGACGTGTTCTTCTATTAATGTTTCTGTAAAAATAATTCGTTAGAGTTAATATTTATTTATATGATTATTTTTTTATTTATTGTTTTATTTGTTATTAGTTTCAAAAACTAGTAGTTTCTTGAAAAGTCTCCATATAATTTTAGAACTAAATTGCAATAAATAAATAAGTGTTCCTCCACTTTGGTCCATAAAAGTCAACTTGTTATTAAACTATATGTGTATGTGTGATTTTAGTTTCATTGAGATGCATTTTTTTAGTAGTTTTAGTACAGTACAAGTTAAACAATGAAAATTAGAAATATTGTCTTGGCAAGTGGCTGAAATAAAAAAGTTGGAATTTTTATGAAGTATAAAGAAAATATTAAAATAAAAACTCATTCAAAAGATTAATAAAAACTGTGATAGTATATTAATGATTCAGAATTAAATTGGCAATGCCTTTTTTAATCTATATATCTATTCTGTTCATATACTTTAATTCGAGTTGAAAGTGTTGCTAACAAAAGTAAGAAAGAGATCATTCCTACGGTCACACTGGATGTTTAACTGCTGCTGATTCTGGATGGGCTGATCATTGCTCTCGCATTCCCAAATATTATTCTTCCCTGAGCAATTATAGGTCTTCTTCCACCAGTCTTTCGTGTTTTTGATTATAGTGGAGTGTGATATGTAATTTCCACACTGTAGATACTCGCACAGCTTTTGTCCTTCCTCTCTGCCCCATCCAAGCCCGCTGACTTGCTGTGTGTTCCCATCTCGCAGACCATATACTGGACCACTGCATTCACCTTCCTTATTATAGAGGAGCAATCGTTCCCAATCTGTTACATGAAGGGCAGAAAAATTAAAGACCTTGTTTCACATGTGCAGGAGCAGAGGTCAAAGGTCAGAGGAGTTGCAGAAACTACACACCTCACCTAGAGAGTGTGGTAAAAATTCCCCCTACGCACCTGACAAACCTTAAAAGTTAAATTATCCTCAGGTGACTTGTCTGACCGCATTGGAGAACCAAGACTTCTTGGCAAAGATGACATTATGACACCATTTATCTCTAACATAATTGGTTCTTCATGTGCAATTCAGGAAAACCCATAGGCAAAGCAAATTTAATTTATGATTACTTCAGGTTGTTACTCAAGTCATGGGTTGTTATGGTTATTATTACATTCAGATAGACATCTAGTCACCTTGTCCATATGAATCTGTTATGGCAACACACTAACTAACTTTTTGTTCTCAAAAGGATACAAATCAAACTTAGTTGAGATCACAAAAATTTCCTTCACAAGAGAAATGTTTTCAAGTCTGCAAAAAAATAAAAAAGGTGAGTACCTGTGCATTTCAGATAGCCAACAATACATTCTTTCTCTGAAATCCCTTTGAGGTCACATTTGGAAACAGAGTTGGCACTATCCAGACATGTAATTCTTGATAGTCCTCTGGATTTAGACTCTTCAAGCGAAATCAAATCATATGTGTCCTTTATGCTCGTCCCACAAAATAGTTCCTTGCAGATTGCATTTTTAAGGTTTGTATCAAGACTGTCTTGGCAGATGGGTGTCCAATTCCCAGCGTAAAACAGTGACACTTTTCCAGCGCATTTGTCTCTTGGATCCTCCAGTCTAGCTTTGACGCTGTCTGTGAAGAGTGTATCAAATAAATGTTAATTAAATGGCATTTTACATTGTGTTTAAGGAATAGTTCACCCCAAAATTTAAATTTGCTAACCCTCAGGCCATCCAAAATGTGGATGAAATAAATGTACTTTTACATGCTAACATTTGTCTTAATATTGACCCAGAAAATGGATGGAAACTAAATGGATAGCATTTATTCCAATGTTATACATTATGGTGAAAAAAAAGTATAGTACTTAAAATGTTCTATTTCCACACACTAATTTTGTACTTAATATACAAAAAATTATTCTTTAGCACTTCTTAAAGGGGTCATATGATGCGATTTCAAGTTTTCCTTTCTCTTTGGAGTGTTACAAGCTCTTGGTGCATAAAGAAGATCTGTAAAGTTGCAAAGACTAAAGTCTCAAATCCAAAGAGATATTCTTTATAAAAATTAAGAGTCAACCACGCCTACCTAAAACAGCTCGTTCTAACACGCCCCCACATATCTAGGTCACTATGTGGAAATATTAGCATAATGCCGCCCAAATGTGCACGCAAAGAAAGAAGGCGTGGTTTCAGGAACAGCAGTCGTGTTGATGCAGCCATGTCAGGGAGACACTGTGTTTCAGTGCTAAAGCAAAAGCACTTTATTTGGCCTTCCGGAAGTAGATGCAATTAGGAATCATTGGTTAAGATTTATTTACAACAGACGGTAAGGGGCGTTACATTTCCGACGCGTTCTTGCAATGTTCGGCCAATCACAATGCACTGGGTCAGCTGGCCAATCAGAGCAGACTGTGCTTGTCAAAGGAGGGACTTTGTAGAAAACGAAGCGTTTGAGAGAGGCGGGGCATAGAGGACCTACAATAATGTACAGTATTTGAAAAATAATGTGTTTTTTGAACATTAAAGCATGTCAACATATTCTGTTACACCAAATACACAAAATAATGATCTTTAAAATAGCATCATATGACCCCTTTGAGATAATCTAAGAAGATAATAAAGATTAAGAACATTTAAATGTACCCAACTGTGCTATTTTGGGACACCATGAATATGAACTAAAATGTGCTTTTAACATACTTTCTCTCTCTAAAAAATTTATTTACTTACCACTTGTACAAAAAAAGTGTATTTATATCAAGTGTAATTAAGTAGTACAGTTGGGAAAATGTACTTATAACTATTGCTTTACTAATATATGTTAAATAAAATCTATTTAATTTAAACTATAACTATATAAAAGTCAACTAATTTTTAAATAATTCAAAGCACTGCTTTTTAGAAATACACTAATAAAAGTCCTCTGAATATTTTTGCGGTGGTATACTTTATTTCAATGTACTAAAAATCTATTTAAAAATCAGTGGTATTTGGTATACTTTTGCAATCTCACCGAAGTTCTACTGAAGTAGAAATAGACTTTTAATTAGTGTACAATTTTATTTAGCACAAAAAAATTCAAATGTACTATAAATGTACTTGCTGGTATTTAAGTCTATTTCAAGTATACAAGTATAGCATTCAAGTATACTCTTTTTTTCACCTGGGTAGTGTAATAAAGGAATAGTTTCTTCATGGGAACAGATCTGGAGAAATTTTGCATTACATCACCAGTGGATCCTCTGCAGTGAATGGGTGCCGTGGATTATTATTGCTTTTATCAGCTGTTTGGATTCTCATTCTGAGGACACCCATTCATTGCAGAGGATCCACTGGTGAGCAAGGGATGTAATAATGGTACATTTATACCAACTTGTTTCCATGAAGAAACAAACTCATCTACATCTTTGATGGCTTGAGGGTGTACATTTTCAGCAAATTTTCATTTTTGGGGGAACTTTTTCCCTTAAGGCCCATTTTAGTCATGGGTTTGACAATATTTCACACTTATAATTCTGTAGAAACGGTAAGGAGCATCTTTTGACAACCAGTCTTAAACTAAACAACAGTTGACTCATGAAATATTAATACGCTCTGTACAGTCGAAAAAACTTTCACACAGTTTAGTTTCAGCGTCTGAGAGAAACTGTTGAATAGTGACATATCGATTGCGAATTTTTGGTTTACGTGGTAAGTTTTTTTTAAACATTGCCATTTTCACACATGTTAGGGTAGAGTGGGGGAAAACGCCCCATACTGTTTTTCCCAAACTGTTGTTTTGTAGAACATCACAGTTATGTATGATATGGGAACGGTAGGGCCTGTAGATAGGGAGTACGTGTTATTTAATAAAAATTAGTGGTGTCAAAATTAACGCGTTAACGCTGGAGATAATTTTTTTCAGTTTAGCTCATTAAAAATATTTAACGCAATTAACGCAGGGGCGGGGCTAGGGTTGGCCACACCCCACTCACAACTGCTGCTTCTGTCACTTTTTCTCTTGACAAGAAGTGCATTTATACTCCTTGAATTTAGATCTTTCTCAGTGTAAATTTATTATTAATCTATTGCTATATCTTGCTAAATTTTACATTCATAAGTGTAAATTTTCAAAGAAAACTGCCTACTTTTTTATTTTCAGGAAAGATTTTGATGTACAGTATATGTAAACTCTTTAAGAAACTCTAATAATTCTATTGCATGTAAGACTCTTTCATGGTGTAAATCTTATAAGCTAACATAGTATGCTTTGGAGTATTGTTTGTAACCCTTATTGTCTTTTGTTCTTTCTTGTCTTTGTAATTGTATTTGTTGTTCTTCTATTGCATAATACAAATATATATAAGGCTGCCTTAAAACTTTGCATGCATGTCATATAATTTATATGAGTCACATTTAAGAACATGTCTCTGAAATGGTTTTCAAAAATGTCCTGGAGCAGCCCAGCACTGTCTCACTCATCTAACACACCCGATTTAATTCGTCAGCTCATTAATAGAGACTTTAAGACCTGAAGTGGGTCAGAAAAGGTAAAAAGATTTGAGAGAAAATATAATGCATGTCAGATCCGCATCACGTTCAGCAGCGGTAGCTCTTAAAGAAATAACAGCCAAAACAACCTAATAACCAGCTGCTGTTATGTCTATTAATCAAAGGACAAAGAAAAAAAAGAGGAAAAATGCTTTTACAGTTATAAGGATTCATCTATATTTAATTTAGAATTTAGTGTTTGATAACTTCAATCAATTTCAATATATTTCTGCTGAAGGGCACAGGTAAATATGACATTATAATGGGTTTATGTGAAGATTGTTTTAAAGGGTTAGTTCACCCAAAAATAAACATTAGCCCACAAATGACTCACCCTCAAGTCATCCTAGGTGTGTATATGACTTTCTTCTTTCAGACGAATCCAGTCGGAGTTATATAAAAAATTGTCTTTGATCTTTCAAGCTGTTTCATGGCACTCAGCGGGTGTTGCATGCATCAGTCCAAAAGAAGCAGTTCCGGGCAGATGACGTATGAGGTCGGCGTTGCGCATGCGCCGCTCAGAAGTGACGAACGAGGAAGCGCAGGGGAGAGATCAAAACAAAACACCGGTCACTAATTAAAAGTACAAAACGAGGATTTGTAAAGAAGAATGTCAGAGGATTTCGATATAAGCCAAGAGGAGACTGGTTTTCCTTTGCTAAAGTAAGGAAACTTTGCTTCCTTTGCTCCCCCTTTGAGATAATCTAAGAAGATAATAAAGATTAAGAACATTTAAATGTACCCAACTGTGCTATTTTGGGACACCATGAATATGAACTAAAATGTGCTTTTAACATACTTTCTCTCTCTAAAAAAATTTATTTACTTACCACTTGTACAAAAAAAGTGTATTTATATCAAGTGTAATTAAGTAGTACAGTTGGGAAAATGTACTTATAACTATTGCTTTACTAATATATGTTAAATAAAATCTATTTAATTTAAACTATAACTATATAAAAGTCAACTAATTTTTAAATAATTCAAAGCACTGCTTTTTAGAAATACACTAATAAAAGTCCTCTGAATATTTTTGCGGTGGTATACTTTATTTCAATGTACTAAAAATCTATTTAAAAATCAGTGGTATTTGGTATACTTTTGCAATCTCACCGAAGTTCTACTGAAGTAGAAATAGACTTTTAATTAGTGTACAATTTTATTTAGCACAAAAAAATTCAAATGTACTATAAATGTACTTGCTGGTATTTAAGTCTATTTCAAGTATACAAGTATAGCATTCAAGTATACTCTTTTTTTCACCTGGGTAGTGTAATAAAGGAATAGTTTCTTCATGGGAACAGATCTGGAGAAATTTTGCATTACATCACCAGTGGATCCTCTGCAGTGAATGGGTGCCGTGGATTATTATTGCTTTTATCAGCTGTTTGGATTCTCATTCTGAGGACACCCATTCATTGCAGAGGATCCACTGGTGAGCAAGGGATGTAATAATGGTACATTTATACCAACTTGTTTCCATGAAGAAACAAACTCATCTACATCTTTGATGGCTTGAGGGTGTACATTTTCAGCAAATTTTCATTTTTGGGGGAACTTTTTCCCTTAAGGCCCATTTTAGTCATGGGTTTGACAATATTTCACACTTATAATTCTGTAGAAACGGTAAGGAGCATCTTTTGACAACCAGTCTTAAACTAAACAACAGTTGACTCATGAAATATTAATACGCTCTGTACAGTCGAAAAAACTTTCACACAGTTTAGTTTCAGCGTCTGAGAGAAACTGTTGAATAGTGACATATCGATTGCGAATTTTTGGTTTACGTGGTAAGTTTTTTTTAAACATTGCCATTTTCACACATGTTAGGGTAGAGTGGGGGAAAACGCCCCATACTGTTTTTCCCAAACTGTTGTTTTGTAGAACATCACAGTTATGTATGATATGGGAACGGTAGGGCCTGTAGATAGGGAGTACGTGTTATTTAATAAAAATTAGTGGTGTCAAAATTAACGCGTTAACGCTTGAGCTAAACTGAAAAAAATTATCTCCAGCGTTAACGCGTTAACTTTGACACCACTAATTTTTATTAAATAACACGTACTCCCTATCTACAGGCCCTACCGTTCCCATATCATA